AAGCAAAAATTGTTGAAGACAATGTAAATTTGACAGAATCGGTATCTTATGATACCGAGTCTAATAACATTAAAATGGAAAAAACTTCTGTGAACGATGGCGAGCAGTTGGGATCCGACAAAATAGACATGGATAAATATGGTGCAGCATCGAATTCTGCCAGCAGAACTGATGTAAAGGATTTGGACGAAAAATTAGATGTCGCGTATGATAGAAAAATGGATGATATGATAGATCATGAAAATATAAAAGTACAAGAACCTCAAGATCATACGGATAAAAACCTAGCCGAGGAGATAACGCGTATTCGCGATCAGTCTGATAGTATAATTAAATCGTCTACAAATGAGAAGAAAAGAAAAAACAAATTAGTAAGAACAGATACGTTGCAAGATGGATCTTCATATGACGAAGAATATCATCAAACCCCCACAATGAATTCAAATCTCGGAACGACATCTTCAGCTTCTAACAAAACTTTGAGAAAAGAAAATAAAATTTCAGCAGAATATATCAAAACGGTGTTTCACGTACATTTACCTAATGATATTAAAGAATTCGGTGTACCAGGTAATTAAGAAATTAAAATAAATTTAGTTTGCATTTTTCCTTAAACCACTAATAATAATATTTCTATCTCAATTCTATAAATTACCTTGAAGCTGTTGTTGGCAATATCAAGGAATTAGGGTTCTGGGATAACCCGATTGTCAAGCTTCGTCAAATTTCTCGCCACCTACCCCCCAATTGTGCCAATACCTACTGGATTTCTGATCCCGTTCGGATTTCTTTAAAAGATATCGAGTCTGTTCAGGAAATTCGATACAAATATGTGGTTGTTCCAGCACAACAAAGTACAATAAAAACTAAAGAACTCACAACTATGATCTCTGAAGGCTTTGATGACGATTCCGGACGTGTTCTTTCATTGCAAAACAATCAGTATGATATATGGATGGATGGAGAACCATTCTATATTAGTAAAGTTGAAGATTATTATTTTTCCGAGCTAATATTCAATTCTTTAACTCCAGACAATCTTAAAGAAAAAATTTTAGAATATCGAATAATTCACAATGATCATTGGGCAAAGGCAATCGATGCAATGTCGATTGAGTTTTCTAAAAAATGCTTGTATAAGAATAAATCTAAAGAGCATCGTCTTTTAGTGCTTGTCGTTATAGGATATTATCTTCACAAACTTCAGAGTCATACACGTTACCGTATTGAATTACCTGACGATTTTCCTACAAAACCATTACTTGATGTATTGTCACACATTCAAGAAAATACTTTTCCATCCGATGTGCATCAAATTGTTATGAAATCTTTGGAAGCTTTAATTTATCATAACGTTTATAAGGGTCAACTTGAGTGGTTAAAAATATTTCCCATTGCTAAATTTCTTGATCCAGAATTCAAATTTGTCGAATCTATCAGGCTCAGATTCAGTGAATCTGATGATGAATTCTATTTCATCACCACTTTGCATAAAAAGGTATTCGATTACATTGATCAAATCCAAGATTTAAGGACTTATGTTAGAGTTGGGAAGGTAATTCTAAATATTTGTTTATTCATTTGATGTTATTACTATTACTAATCTTGTATTTTTTTTTAGTGGATGATTTCAATATGTGAAACGATGAAATCACTTATTTACCTTTGGAACAATGTAATTGATCATAGTGATGATAGGGTCATCGTTAGTCTTCGTCCTAAATTGTTAGAGAGAGTCCAAAAAAATATATATACTATGGATATTGTTCAAATGCATGAACTATTCTTTGGACTTCCGCAGGACTTGGCTGAGTTAGTGGCGGAAGCATTTCGACAAAGGGTTATTGTGCATTTAAAAAATGTTTGTGCATGTCTAAATTTTCCGTCAGAACATTCAAATGCAATATTTCGATTATTACATAGTCAACAACTTTTTTGGACATCTGATGATTATATTACCGTGCTAGATTTATTTTCTCAATTCACTAATTTTGAAATGTTACTCCATTTCCATGAATTATTAAAAACTTTTCAAGTTTGGTTTGATGATCTGATAGATGAACGGGATCAATTTTTTAAAATTTGTAAAAAATGGTATGAACGCTTCTTGGATCATTTAACTTCTTTGTCTCAGATTAAAAAGGACACCATCATCTTGATTTTCCATCATGTATCTCTTCTCTATGAGAGAATTGGAAAACATACAATGCTTTGGAAAAAAATAATGGAGCTCACTACTAATAGTATAAAACAGTTTCCTGAAACCCTTGTTTTCAAAGCTATATCAAATATTGAGAAATTTCATCTAGAAGTTGTTATGTATTTTCGTCGTATAGTTGAAGAGATGTTGACTGAATCCACAAAACAAATCGATAGTCGATTGATGATGAAAATTGAACAAATTTGTACTGTTTCAAGTGGACAACTTACTATTCCAAGCTTGTAAGTATTTTTACATTTATTTATTAATATTTGTTGAATATAACTGATTATTTGACACATTTAACTTAGATTAAGCGAAGAACTGATTTGTCACATTATTAAATGTTTGGGAACTAACCTCATATCTCATGATGCAGATTGGGAGGTGGCCCCAACAAATTTTCACCTGTCTCTTCTTAGTACGGCAAGTTTTTGGAAAATGATCTTGAGAGCTAATGGTTATGTGGAAAAGTTAAATTCACTTCATTGCATCAAAATGGTTAAAAAAGCGATTTCTCAATTGGGTCGTGATATAATAAAGGAATCGATTGACATTTTTCTCTTACAAAATATTCACAAATACGATGATGATTATTTATTAGCATATTTTAAATCTGTGTCAATATTCGATGAAGATGACGTTGAAATATATGTCACAAAGGAGATCTTGAAATCAGTTAAGGAACAAATTAGAGAATATTTGCAAACATTTGAGCATATTAATGCTTTCTATGTACGATATTGCTTAATCACTAAAGTCACAAATGGACAAGATGGTATTGATGAATTACGTGAACAAAAGGACATGTGGGAATCGATTTCGCTTAGTAAAACCCAGGATCCTGAAATTTGGAAAGACCATTCTGAGATTTTAGATGTTGCAAAGAAAGTTTATAAATACAACAAATCTCAAACATTTTATAATGTTTTTGAAAAAATTTTACAAGAAATTCCGGATGAAATAAATGTACAAACACTTGCACAAGATATCATGCCAAAAGTTTTTGTATCATACATTAAAGATTGTTCTAAATTTCAAAATTGGCAATATATCCAATTACCGTTCGCAGCAATGTTTTGGAAAAATGTTACAAATATCAATGCTGAGCTTGAATTCATGGCTGAATTTATTCCCAGGAATCAAGACCAAAAGTACATAATGACCCTTACTCAGCTCTCTGAAGTTTTGAAAATAATACAAAAGTTACATCAACTAACAACTGTGATAGAAATATTTAATATACCTCGGAATGAACAAGACTGGCTCTCGGAAGCACTTAATGATCTTGAGGGACAATCGATCCTCTTAGGACAATTAAGTTCTGTATTTGATTCCATTAATGATCATCTTGCTGTCATTGATGAAAATAGTTGGTCATTAATTAAAGAACTTTCAAATGCTGAAGAATTTATCAATTTTCTAAGATCTATTGCGGAGCACGATCTTAAAAATCTTATAAATGGTGTTGATGATCATTCTGATGAACGATTGATTCAAGAAGATACCGTTGCATCTCTTATTCAAGTTAAACAGTTCTTGTTTCCACTATTAAGTGCTGCATCAACCTTGACCTTGGATACGTTCTTACAAGATTTGGCTAAGATCATTGAGTTGAATCCAACACTCGCAAGCAAAGTTACATTATGTAATAGCAGCAATATGGCGTTACAAAATATGTATGCAAACATTAGTAACAGAGGGGAAGTAACTAAAGAAAAAATTCTAAATGCCGTTAAAATTGGGACTTATAAATTTGAATGGAAATCAACAGATAAGAAGTGTTCAGTGAAGTTATCATATCAAATTACGAAAACAAGAACTGTCATCTCATATAATTTTAATGACTTGCAAGATTTACGTGGACGGGCTCTTTTAATAGCAAAGCCAGATATCACAAATATCACAATTGGAGGTTCAAATGATGAGAGTAAAAAAGATAAAACAAAGGAAATAATGGATGAATTTGTACGTCAAGTAGATATAGCTCAGGACATCGTTAATAATATCGCCGCGAAATTAATTGAGACTGGTCACTTTGGTTATAGAGAGTTTCAAGAATCAGTCAAAGGATCTGTAAATATGACTCAGTTGGCCGAAAAATTAAAATTAGAGCTTAGAAAATGGTAAAGATACATATATTTCTTTTTATCTTTCTGTATATATTCATTAATATACAATATCCTTTTTATGTTATAGGGAAAGTTTAGTGAATAAAGCGCAAGAAAATCATTTCTATTTAACATTCTTTCCAGCGCGACATATCCTAGAATTTTATGATTTTTTCACGAGTCGTTCACCAACAAATACTAAAACATGCCAAACTCTCGTTAGATTTGTAAACCCGAATGCCAAACTACAGACTAGAGATAGAACTATATCGATTGCACGAAGGGATTCACATCTTCAGATATTGAATGATATTGGAACTAAATTAAGCCTTATTTTTGGATCTCTATCCAAAAATCCGCGTTTGCTAAAAACTCCAATTGAACGCGTAGCATCAGATGTTGTGATTCGTGGAAGACTATTTGTTGCAGCATGTAATGACAAGTCACGAGTTCCAAACATTATAATGTCGTTGTATGCAAACCATGGAACATTTCCTGAAGCTTGGCAAGTCTTGATTTGTACATCTTCCACAACCTTGGAAGAACTTTCAATATTTATCAAAAGATGTTTTTTGGCTTTCAAAAATGGATACGAAAACCATTTGTTTTGCATGGCAAATTTGGAATTACTTGACTTTGAATTACAATACAATTTGGTGAATAAAATTCGATCTATGCGAGAAAAAGAACCTAATTACCTCCTAGCACTAGTCTGCAATTCTGAAGGTGGAATGCATCATCACATATTGGACCAATTTTCGCAAGATGTTCATGCAACAAACGGTTTAAGTTCTAGTGCAATGACAACTATTTATCAAAAATTGTGTTCTAATGTTACATGTGTATCATCGGATCTTTCAGGTCAGGGCAAAACGGAATGGATTAGACATGAATGTTTTGAAAATAGTAAGCTTCCAAAGAGTTTTCTCATTAGTGATGGTGCTGATTTTGGAAAGCTTGTTCGTCAGTTAAAAGAGTTTACACTTAGACCATTGGAATGTGTGCATATAAATATAATTTCATCCGATTATCCTGGCGATGTCAATTTGTTTCTTTTTGAACTTTTAAGTTTTGGAATAGTATCTAATAATGCTGATATAGCAAGCCTTCCTCGCACAACATCCATATATATTGAAGTTGCATCAAGCTTCCAACAGCATTTACTAAGATCACTCCCGATGATGGATTATTTACCAAAACATCACATTACATGGGATATTAATAATTTGATAGTCTCACAAGATATTAATAGTCCCATGCAAATAGTATGTCGCTATTTATTTGCACTTCATCTACTTCAGATCAATGAAAAAAATATTTTACTCCAAGGCCCAGATATAGCTAATGAGGTTATTTGTGATGTACTATGTCGAGAACTTATAAATCGATTTTTTTTTAAAGACAATAATTCAGAAGAAATACTATCATTCCGATTTTTGGAAATTTTCGTTAGTGTCTTTGCTGATCAGCTGGTTCGACTATCTTCGAGCTCATATTTCAAAGTTGAAAATATAGCTTTGATGCTTGAAAAAGAAACAAATATTAGGACAACATTAGTAAAAACGTTATTAGATGTGTCAAAGGATTTTGCCGTGAGGTCAATTCAAACGAAAGCAGTACAATTAGAAGCAACTTCATTTGATGGCATAGAAAATACACAATTAAATACAATTGTGAAATGGGATGATTCAAATCATTTATTAGTATTCTTTTTATCACAAACACCAGATTCTATTTGTGCTTTATATCGCGACAAGGACAAAGTTCCTGAAAATGTTCAACAATTGCTTGAAAGTCAATTTATTGCGCAAAATTTGGAAAAATGGGAGTTGGATGATTATTCAAAAATGTCATCCAGAGCTCTATTGGAAAAATTGGAAAGTATTGCTAGAAAAACTTATCATAGGATGGAGTATACACCTTACGCGTTGTCTGCGGACAATTTGGTAAAAATGGCATTAATATTATTGAGAACACGTGCAAATATTCCGGTGGTAATTTCTGGGGAGGCTGGATGTGGAAAGGTAATTCATAAACTTGAAGATGTCACTGTACTTTAATATATTTTGTCTATTAATCAATATATGAACATTACATTTTTTTTCAGACAAGCTTAATTGGATTCTTAGCCGAAGTTGTCGGAGCTCAATTCTTTGCACTTAATCTCCACGCTGGAATTGATGAACAAACTATTGCTGAATTCATGACCGAAGCCCGAAATAATGCCAAGAAAGGCGAAGTTTGGATATTTTTTGATGAAATTAATACTTGCAATCACATAGGTCTTCTTTCGGATTTAATAGCTCACAGAATTTATCTTGGTAGTACAATACACTACAACATTCGATTGTTTGCAGCATGTAATCCTTACAGAATTCGAACCAAAAGTGTTAGTGAAGCGGGATTACAAACTAAGCAAATTAAGAGATATGAAGAACAAAGCAATCTTGTATACGAAGTCAAACCACTTCCAGATCAAATTCTTGATTATGTTTGGGATTATGGTATACTTCAACCAGATGATGAAAAAAAATATATTCAAATCATGGTAGCTACACAATTAAAGGGATTAAGTCACCCAGCTTTAGCTGACCTATTATCTGCTTCCCAAGAATATATTCGAAGTGTAGAAGAACCATATAGCGTCAGTCTGCGTGACATAAAACGCGCAATAACTTTAATTCAATTCTTTTACAAGAGTTTACAAGATCGGCCACCAATTCGTAAAGATGCACCAAAATATCCGCCCGATTCGCGTGATAACATTCGTTCATATGTATTGGCATTAGGGCTTTGTTATCAATCGAGGTTATATGATCAATCATTACGTACAAAATATAGGAAGATTATGTGTGAAACATTTGAAGCTCGCGGTGTTCATATAGATGAAAAAGAATTCATGAAGATTATTAGAGATGAACAAGAAGATTATATTAACAGAATGGTCTGTCCACCAAATACTGCAAAAAATGAGGCGCTTCTAGAAAATGTTTTGGTTATGACCGTTTGCATATTAACCAGAATACCTGTTTTTATTATCGGCGCGCCTGGGTATGCTTACATAGTTGTTTGTTGTTTGTTGATCAGATAGAACTTTTAATACAACGTAATACTTATTTTTGATTTGAACAGATCTTCAAAATCATTAGCTATTCGTCTTGTTGGTCAAAATTTGCGTGGATCTGATTCAAATGATGAATACTTTAGGAAATTGCCACAGGTAAATAGCCAGCTACATTTGTGCATGACTACTGTACATTTTTGTAATTTTTTTTTTCTTAATGATTAATGCACACTTTATTATGTCAATTTAAAACTTTACAATGATATTAGGTATATCTCATTCCTCATCAAGGTTCATCATCTTCAACATCCGAGGGAATTTTAAAGGTCTTCCAAAAAGCTCAAAACTTTCAAGAAACAAGTTCAAATGAATTTCCCGTAATTAGTGTAGTTCTATTGGATGAAGTAGGATTGGCCGAGACAAGTCCATTTAATCCATTGAAAGTACTTCATTCACTATTGGAACCAAGTTATAAATCTAGTCGACCTAGCGTTTCTGTTATTGGAATAAGTAATTGGAGGTTGGACAATAGCAAAAGTAGCAGGGCCCTGCTAGTTCAAAGGTTTGTTAAAATCCACTATTTTTGTTGATTTAATTTTCATTAAGCTAATTTTTACGCGTATACCTATAGACCCAGGTTTGACTTGGACGATCTGGTAGATACTGCAGCCCGTATATTAGACAACAAATCTTCTGGCCAGATTCAAAAAGCATCTTTATACCCGCTCGCAAAAGCATATTCCATTTACGAGCAAGAAGGTCAAATCCTTCCAAATTTCCATGGCTTAAGAGATTACTATGCTTTCATTAAATCCCTTTCTTTAAATGCTATAACACCCGAAAATATACAAATGGCGTTAGCGAGAAACTTTGGTGGTACTAACAAATTTTCCGAAATATGTCAAAAATATTTTGGTAACGCTATAAATGAATTTAACAATCATAAATGCTGGGTTTATAATCCTATACCTACTGAAAAATTAATCCATATGAACTTGGATGATGAGGGTGCGAGACATTTGATGATTATTGGAAGAAGCGATTCTGTAGTTAATTTATTGGCA